AAGTCTTGAAGGAAGCCAGCGAAGTGAGGGGATGGAGATGAGCAGGGAGACAGAAGCAGGCCTGGGGGATGTCCAGTGAAAAGGCACAGAACTGGGAGATGGGAACATCATGGGTGAGGCTCAGCCAGGAGGCTGGTGTCACTGAATCACAGAATACTTGGAGGGAGTGTGATAGAAAGGGAAGAAGAGGTCAGATCATGAAAGGCTTTAAAAGCCATGAACTGTCAAGTGATTCAGAGGAAAATCAGCACTTTGGGTGGATTCCCCCATGAAGACTTTATGGGAAGACATGGACAAGAGTCACCCAGATTCAGAAGGAATGGGTGGTTTGCAGTCTGCACTAATGGAGGAAATCTTCAGAGCAATGAGATCACAGATTTCATCAAAGTATCAAAAAATATTGAAAATATACACTAAATATAAAAGAGCACTTAAGTTTCACTAAATCCTAGTATTCTAAAAATCAGAAGAAACTTTTAGAATCATCTAAACCAATTCTGACCTACAGCAGACAATCCTTCTATGATATCTTTCAACGGATGTATAGCCCATAAATGTTATTTCTCACTTAACTAACCATTATGTCTTTAAAAAAATTGTTCTGAGTATATTTTTAAAAAATAATTAAATTGCATTAAGTTTATGGCCATTTCTGTATATGCAGAACATTGTCCATCTACAAAAGGACTTTACTAAATGAATAGTGTTCTATAAAATTCTTCTGACTACCAAGGGCAGTCCTGGAAACAAAGGGGAATATGCACACACCTAACAGGAATTTCCTCAGATAAACAAAGGCTAAAACGCTGGATTCTTATCAGCAACAAACAGCAGATGCAGGAAACCTTTTGTGGGAAACTCTGGGCACCAGCTCTGAAATTAAGTCATTTCTAACACTGAAAGTCAGGGGCAAACTAAAAGTCATGCCTTTTCTTTGAACATGCAACACACACACAAATAGATTCCACACACAAAAACTTTGGAAATACAAAGTACTAAGAGGGTTCTTTTCTTAGCACCAAAGAAAGATAAAATGAACAAGATGATATGTTTATTTACATATCAAATTACTTTATTAATAATATGCTATATCTTCACTTAGAAAAATATTATCTATTCTATCTAAATACTAGTAAATCCATAAGCAAGGCATACATACAAATGTAAATCACTTCTAAATTATAAATATTTAGAGTTGGAAAATCCCTTAGAGGTAATCTAGTTCGATCCCATTTTAGAGCTGAGGAAATTAAGGCCCCAAAAGGTGAAATGGCCTGTCCAAGGCCCCAGAGCCAGAAACTGCCAGAGCTGGAAACTGACCTGAGGTCCTCTGACACAGCATCCAGTTCTCTTTCCCTTAGCCATTACACACTAAAAATAGATTTAAAGTTGCTGTAAGGTATTCTAGTAAATACCTAAATTATTTAAAGTCATTATAGAAAGATAAATGAAAGCTTCTTGGTTTCTGCCTCCCTCATTCCTTTAATATTTAAAGTCACCTATCCTTTCAAGTGAGTGAGAGAACTTTGCCCCACTTTAACGTAAAAGCAATTTACCCACTTAATTATGCTATCTATTCATTATAACCCAATTTTCCAGTTTTTAATTTGTTTCGTGTTTTGTCTTTTTTTTGGGGAGGAGGGAATGGGGAGAGATTTGGTCTGCACCTGTGATTTCACAGGTTTAGGGTAACTCCAGTGAGGAAATCCCCTCTTACCAATGGGGGTCTCTGTAACTATTCTTGAATGTACAGTCTTTGGCATCTGAAAGGGGACACTGCAAGATTAAGTCACGTGCCCAGGTTAACAAAGTCAGAAGTATCAGAGGGACATGAATCGCAAGCACAAAAGGACGTTGGGATCAGGTCCCCCAGGCCATGCCCCCTGTCACTTTCCTTTTACCACACATCAATTCCAAGTTTCCCCTGAAATGCTGAGCAGGGTGCTTACTGCACAGCTATGCACACCGAATGGTATGAAGATAACCCTGGCAAAGTAGACCCAGAATAACTGAAATACCTGTGTTCAAGTTCTGGCCTCATGTTACCTGTGGCACCTTGGGCAAGTCATTTAACATCATCTTTGTCTCAGAGAACTCCCCTATGAAGGCATATGCAGGGGATCTGCTTGGTGGAAGGAGTAAAACCTGAGAAACAACAGACCCCCCGATATTCGAGCACCTCTTTCTGCTCAAACAGGGCACCATTTCTCTGGGGCTTATAGTGACTAGACTTAATGACCATGAGTTCACGCTAACTAGCCAAGACAGCACAGTGTAGTGAAATGAATGCTGAAATAAGAGCTAAAAGACCTGCAGCCTAGTCTCAGATCTGCCACATTAGCTGTGTGATTCTGGGCAAGTCACTTATCCTTTTACATTCCTCATTTCCTCAGCTGAAGAAATCCTCAATTTCAACTATAATACGTGAATCATAATACTTGCCCCACCCCCTCATTCTAGGGTTATTGTGAGGACCGAATGAATGAGAACATGTACCTGAAAGCACTCCATAAATGGTCAATTTTATACAAATAAAGTATTATTACCATTAGTATTAATTTTATGATGGAATCCAAAGATTCCACCACCAATAGAAGACAAAAATGGTCCAAAATACTAAGTCATTTAAATAAAACCTTTTCTAGTTTTACTTTTAAAATTGGGCTACAACAGAATCTCTAAAACCTGGATATTGACAAGGAATCATGTTCCCTAGGATACCTTCTTTTTCAGAAGATACTGTCCTAGATGGATTAATATGACACCCTAGATAGCGTATCTGGGGAGCCAAGGTCTTCATGAGTAGAATTCTTTGCAAACAGAGAGTATCTCATTTACAGTATTTGTACCCTCAACATCTAGCACAGGCCTGGCATACAGCAGGAACTTCATACTTTGTCTATTCAAAAAGATCTTCAATGAGAGAGAGTGAGAGTGAGAGAGACAGAGAGAGACAGAGAGAGAGAGAGAGAGAGAGAGAGATGCTATAAAGAATCTTGGAAACAGGGAATTTTCTAGGACTTCTTAGTGAATCTGTTGCTACAAGCAATGATCTTATTATAAAATCTAGCTGCTCCTAGGGGGCTTAAAGAAAATCTGTTTCAAAGTGACTTGCCTGCCAAGGGGGCCTATTGATGCCAACATAAAGAATATGCTAATGTAAAGCATCTTTCTTTCAACTTCCAGATCTGAATATCTCTGTATTCGAGCTACAGAGCTCCTCTGTGCCTGGAATGCCTTCTCCCATATCTCTGCCAGTTATAATCCTACCCATTTTCAAGGCCTAATTCAAATGCCAGTTAGCCTTCCTTGGGCCTCCCTGAATTAAAATTCCTCCTTCCTATAAATTCTCATGGTACCTTGTTCCTAAGATTCAAAAAGTTAATCAGTGGAATCAGCATGAATAAAATAAAATCTCTATCTTCTACACTTTATTCACTATTAGAAATTTCCTTCAAGAGCACAACAAAAAATTTCAGAGGTCATAGAGAGTCCAGGCACAGAAATCAAGTAGTGATGTTATCTACAACTGGACTGAAATTTTTCTAGCTGGCAGGTTCTTTTAAAAGTAAGTAAGACATAGTATGCATTGTCATTTCCATTCATATGTGATATTAAAAAAAACTATGGAGCCAGGAGGCATAGTGGATAGAGCATAGGTCTTGGGAGTCAGGGTGACCTAAGGTCAAATCTAGCCTCAGACATTTATTAGCCATGTCCCTAAGAAAAGGCATTTAATTACACTGTGTTTCAGTCTACTCATGTAAAACGTGTTGTGGAAAAACCATTATGCAATGATTAGTGGTAGGCTTCAAAAGAGACAAAGGTATAAAATTTGTTTAAGGACGATAGTATCAGACTAAGCAACTACCCTGTAAACCCAGATGCCAATAAAATCCTCATTATAATACCTTTATTATTTTGGTATTTGTTTGAAAACTATGAGATCATATTAGGACACAAAAGTAAACCTAGCTTAACGAAGTACACAGATCAAATCTCAGTATAACAAAAAATACTAGGTTTCCAAGTCTGAGCAAATGGTTCACTTATTCCTAACAGTCCACACAACAAAGTTAACGAAAAAACAAGATAATTTGGATAGTCTCAGGAAGTCAGTCACAATGGAATCTGATTTGTAAAAGTTTGAGATTTACAAGGCAGAGTAGGTATAAAATGAAGTACAAAAGGCATTAGACAATCACTTTCCTCAGACTTAACCACAAATTGAACACTGAGATTTTGCCTATATGTTAAGTAACCACTAACGACCATCTAACTTTAGAATTATGGGGCATATGCTAAACAATTTTTTGTGAGTTGTTTCATTATTTTAGACTTTGACATTTTAATGATGTATACTTTTGGTGACTTCCAGAAGTAGCAGCTGAAAATGGAATTAATTTGTTCAAAAATTATTAGAGAAGATTTCTTTTAATTGTATCACATAGGAATCAAAGATCATTTATCTATATTAAGCATGGAAAACTACACATAATCTTAGCTATATCAACCAAGCATATAATTTAATTTATGTTTAGTTTTGTTAGATAATATTTTTTAAAAATTTTTGTTTCTGTGGTTTTTTCTATATGATGAACCTCTTCAGACAACTAGTTTGGTAACCCCCATTACCAACAACCCAAACTTGTGAGATGTGTTGCCAGGGTTGGTACTGGAATTTTTCCTCCAGATTAAGTCAACTGACCTGAAAAAAGAGTTAACACTTGGAACCTTTTACTCAAAAGCACAGCTCTAACCAGTTAAGCTAAAACTTCAAAAGGAGTAGATCTGTCTTCCCTTCACTTCTTTCTGAAAAAAGTGTTTGGTTAAATCATACCTGCCTAAGATAAAGAGATGTATTAAAAGCAGAGGTGACTTTATGCACCTACATACATGGCAGTTTATAGGATAAAAGGAATCACAGTTGTATCTAAAAACAACGATGAGTACATATAGGCTCAAAGGAAAAGGTGACCTGAAAGCAGAGCAATAATTACCTCGGAAATGTTTTTGTCAGTTTCTTTTCTCTTTTCTTCTAGCTTCCTTTCAATTCCTACAATTCCTACAGCCCTTACTCTTCCTGGCTGAAAAACAAAAACACATAGGATTCAGGAAGGAAATTTCAGACCTTTTTCACCCACCACACTTTGTTTCCAGTAGAGGAAAAGAGTCTACAAAGAACCAAAGTAAAACTATGAATGAGGCTGTCAACAGAGTGTATTCTTTCATCCAACTTCCTTTCAAAACATCCCCTTATCAGATGGCTGAATAGCAGTACTCTCTAAATCCTTAGAGAAAAAAAACTAAGTATAAACAAAAGCAGATATTTACCTCTATATTTTTAGGTACATTATCAAAACTTCCAACTCTCCCCCCACGTTTCTGTTACTTATAACTCTTTGCTGGGTGTGGTATTGTAAGAACACTAGAGTGGAAGTCAGAAGATTTGAAAATCACCTCCAAAATTGACTAACTGTGTCACCATGAACAAGTTACCTGACTCTCTGAGTCAGTTTCCCCATCTGTAAAATACTTGTAATATCTACCTCACAAGACTATTACAAGGATCAAAAGAAATAATATATGTAAAGTGCTTTGCAAACACTAAAGCTAAAACATTATATAAATGTCAGTAATTATTATTATCATTATCATTATCTGAACTGACAGTCTAGTATATGCAAGATTTTTAATGAAGTCTCCACTGGGCCTCAAATTGTCAGCTGTCTTTTGCCACTGTGGTAATTATAGAAGCAATTTTCAAGTATGAATATCTCCATATAATCACAGCGATTAAGTTAGAGCTTGACAAGTTCCCTTCTATATAGGATTCTTTCTGAAGTAATCTCCTTCTAGGCATCAATGAAAATCTATTTTTTAAAAGAAAATAAAGTTGTCTATTTCCATTAGGCAACATATAACTGTACTTTTTATCATGAATCATTTGGAAGAAAAAATGTCTTTGCTCTTAGAAAGTTCTGCTTATAATATGTATTATTCCATTTGTGATTATATAGAAAAGTATAAAATTAGAAAATGTCAATGGTTTAAAAAAATACCTCTTGTCCACTCTTCCTTTGCATTACTTGGGACACTGGCATATTCTCCCATCTTCTTTGAGTCATTTCTTCTGATAAACGCCTATAAAACTGTGTGTAAATAAGTAAAGTTGAGATCAATCTGTAGAACCCTTCTATGTCATTACTTAAAATCTCTTCATTCTGTTACAATAGCTAGACACTGCTTCTGTCACTCTGCATGGTACTCTCATAAACAATTCCTTTCTCAGGGCACCAGCAGAAAGAGAAGCTAGCTGCTAATATAAGGTGATCTACTCTCAACAAAAATGTCCTAAATTATAGAGATCACTTCCAAAAACCATTTCATTTGCCTATCGGGTAGTCTGTATTAAAGTAAATGTAATGTCAGAAATAATGTACAACCATTTTTCAAAAAAGGAATTAAAAGTAATACATCTAGTTAAAATATGACAAAGACTCCTATTTTTGCAAAAAGGAGATGGTGACTTTTAGCTACGCTAATGACTTCAGTCACTCAGTATTTACTTAGTATCTACTATGCACTAAGTGCTCTAAAGAGATAACAGAAAAGGGGGGGGGGCATGAAAAAAACAACCAGCGAAATTAAAAAAATGCAAAATGACCTGTTAATGCTTTTAAAGCAATATACCAACAATTATACATCAATGTAGTAGAAACTAAGTATACTAAACACCGAGGGCACAAAAAGTTAAGAAATTAGGACGTCTGGGTGGGGGTTAATTAAGAAAACCTTTGCAGAAGTGTGCTTCAGTAAAGTCTTTCAAGAATAATTGCTTCTCCAGAAGCTGTGAACTGTGTTCCTGAGAATCAGTCTGCCAAAGAGTCCTAGGTGAGTGTGCACACAGACAAGTGTGAATATGTATGTACACCTATCTAGCCACACACATGCATGAGTGTGTATCTATATCTACTCATAGTTATGGTTCTTTCACCAAGGCATTATAAAGGTTTTCCATTCTACTCTTTTGCACTCTCTGTACTTCCCGATGCCTCTTCAATTCAACTACTTACTTTGCCAATGACAGCTTTTATCACTTTTTAATAGTAAACTAAAGGCACAACTGAAAGAAATTACCAACCTCCAGCCCCTCTTTTGACCACTACTGCTTCATGCCTCCCACTTTCACTGTAACCTTATCCTGATTAAATCTACTCTGTCAGAGACCTGGTGGCAATAAAGGACATGCACTTGTATCTAGGTCTGGCCTATAATTTATCCTGAGCTCTCTTGGGCTGGTGAAGTGACTGTGCAATAAGCCACTACCAAGAGATGATTCTTTGAACATGCTCAGGCTAGACTGTAATATACCAGAGGATGGAACTGGCAGGAGGAAAACCTGAGGTTCAAACTCGTCTCTACTACACGTAGCTGTTGTGTTGCTGGGTGAGCCACATGTTGTAGAGAACTGACACTTGCAACTCCATACCCAAGTCTCTCAATTCCATTAGAGGCAGCTGTCATTAAGCATTTATGAAGCACCTACTAGGTGCCAGGAACTGTGCTAAGCATCAGCAACACAAAGAAAGGCAAAAGACATTTCCTTTTCTCAAGGTGCTCACAATCTAATGGTGTTGTTCTAAGGTTCTAAGAGTGTGCCAAGTGTGCGGGACAGCCAGTGAAAATGCTGAGAGTCAGGAGATGAGTGTCTTATTCGAGGAACAGCAAGGAGGCCTATGTCATTGGATCCAAGAGTATGTTTTTTGGAGGGAGAGAGGTGTATGTTGTGCAGTCGTTTCAGTCATGTCTGACTCTTCATGAACCCATTGGAGTTTTCTTGGCATAGACACCGGAGTGGTTTGTCATTTCCTTCTCCAGCTCATTTTATGGATGAGGAAACTGAGGCACAGAGGGTTAAGTGATTTGCCCAGGGTCACAGAGCTAGTAAATGTAAGAGGCCAGATTTGAAATCATGAAGATGAGTCTTCCTGACTCCAGGCCTGACACTCTATCCACTGAGTTACCTAGTTGCCTGTGGGTGCATGTGTAAGATGTAATAAGAATGTTGGGAGGCAGAGAGCAGGTTAGAAAGAGCTTTGAACACCAAACAGAGGATTTTATATTTGATTGTGAAGGTAATAGGAGTCAATGGAGTTTATTTGGGCAGGGGAGGTGACATGGTCAGACCTGTACTTTAGGAGTATCACTTGGATAGATGAATGGAGAATGGACTGAAGTCAAGAGAGACTCATGGTGGTGGTACAGTTCTTATTTTTTGTTTGTTTATTTATTTTTTTTTTTGGTGAGGCAATCGGGGTCAAGTGACTTGCCCAAGGTCACACAGCTAGTACAGGTCAAGTGTTTGGTTTGAGGCTGGATTTGAACTCAGGTCTTCCTGACTTCAGGGCCCGTACTCTATCTACTGTGCCACCTAGCTGCCCCCGGTGCTACAGTTCTGCACAGAAAAGAATAGTGTTGTGCCACTAGCAAAAAATATTCAAGAAACACTCTTCTAAACCTTAAAATGACATATAAGCATTGGCTATTATTATTATCTGGTCTTTGTCACAATTAGTTCTTTGCACATTACAATATACAGAAATGGACAACTCTTATTATTAGTGTAAAAAAATATAAAAAAAAATTTTAAAATAGTCACGAAGGGGGAATGGCACACTGTACAATGTTAAATTCTAGCACGTAAGAGACACTTACATCAAAAATGATGACATATATACTTCTAATCAAACTGACATCTACACAAACTTACCTCAATCTGGCCATGCTCTTTGAAAGAGAGTTTGATGTAGGAGCTCTTGCTGCTTTGGAAAGGGCCAGGCTCTTTGTTGGAAGAAGTTGGATGAAGATGAATCACTATTTTGGCACTGAAGAAAGAACACTCATTAAATACGCCATTGCCTTTAATAATACCTCCAATTCTATTCTGACTAACATTGGGTGTTTTTCGGATCACCTCTTACCAAAGTTCAATAAAAGAAAACCCCAGAAAAAAAAATTATTTCATCTATAAATTTAGTGTTAATGAGCAGAAATGAATGCCATTCAAACTAAAACTTGTAACATAAAAATCAAAAGATTCCAAGAAAATGTCTATAATCTATAGATTAAATAAGACATTTTTAGAAAATAAAGTCAAAGTGAGGTTGCTATACTTTAGGTGGTGCTTATTCAGGGCTTTCCATTTGTAAAATCATCCCTAGAGGTTATATGAAATTACCTTCAACTTCTGCCAAAACATACTACCTTAGCTAAATGGAAACAAAATAGTTTCATTAATAGGACATTAACTTATCTGTATAAAACCAGCCAGCTGACATTTTATTAAAATACATCCAAAACTAATATTTTATACCATCACTTATGGGAAAACACTACTTCATCAACAACATGATGTAGAAAGATACCTCATAACAAAAACAACTCTGGAAACATTATTGCTTTGTTATTTAAAAAGACCACAAAAAATGGTTCATAATAATGAGGAAAGTGATCCACTCCTTTAATTCCTTTATCCTTCCATAAAGTCTACTCCAATGCTCCACCAAGACACAGAGGGAACCCTGGGCTCTCAGAAGTTAGGCCAACATAGAACAAGCTCTGGCAGGTCCTTCCTACAGGCAAGCTGGGAAAATGTCAAGTGTAAGCCTTTAAAAAGACTTTATTTCTACTAGCTCCCAACCTAATAAAGCATGGAGAACCACATTACCAAAAGGGTAATGAATTTTTTGAACCAAGGCAATCCATGAAATTGTCTCCTAAGGCACAGAAGAGTTGTGATCGCTATTGGTGGAAGGAATACCCAATGAAAAAATCAGAGATCTTTTGATGTACTGAATTATAATCCTTTTTTTTAAAAGAGTATTTGACTAAAAATGGCCCAATTGTGCAACTGCTTCTCTACTGGACACGATAACTGTATCAGACACAACTGCCCATAAAGCTGTCTGAATAGCACCAGACAACTGAACTTATTGAGTAAACATCACACTTACCTGTGTGCACCTACTTGTAGTATCAACCATTTTAGTGGTATCAATGCAGACTATATAAAATATTCTGGCACTCTGTGATCATGGGCAATTTATTTAATCTCTACAATCTTTGGTTTTCTCATCTGTAAAATGGAAATATACCACCTGTACCAACTACCTCAAATAGTTACTACAGTGATCAAATGAGGTAACATATGCAAAGCAGAATGCAACTTTTAAAGTCCTGTTAACAGTGTGATTATTAGTTTGGACCAGACTTGTAATGATTCTTAAATAGTAGCTACCTGCTGAGTTCTGGGAGGAAAACTAGAAAGAAAAAACTGGGCAGGAACAATTGAAGTCATAGTCTGAAACCATTCGTCTAGCAAGGCACCAAAGCCACAGCCGTAGGAATCGAGCTAGGCTGGCTCTGACTGGACAAAAGCATTAGCAGTCTCTAAAAAACAACTGAGCAAACCATCTCCTGCTGTAGCTGCAGGACATGCCAAAGGCCATGAGGAAGAGCAGGGGAGAGAAAGCTAGACAACCTGAATGGTGTGCCTGAAAGAAGCTAAGAGTGGGCCTAAAGAGAACAGTTCCACAGTTAACATAGGGGAATGACTGATTTTTTGCCCTTCATTGGAGACATCTACAAACCAGACAATAATTTGCCAGTAAAGAGTGATATATATGTTAAATGGTTTGGATTTCCCTGCAACATGGCAGAAGGATAATTCTTTAACCTCAAAGTCTCTTCACACATAATTTTTTATCCTCATTTTTAAAATTAATTTAATATTTCCCAAAATTTACATGTAAAAACAATTTTAACATTCTTTTTTTCAAATTTTGATTTCCAAATTCTCTCCCTCCCTCCTCTCACCCCCTCATTGAGAAGGCAAGCAATTTGACATAGGTTATACAATACATACTTTTTTATCATTTCATTAAATGAGGAGAGAAGTGAGTGATAAGCAAGAATAATAAAAAGCTAAAGGTCTGATGTATATAAGTATTCTACAACATAATCCTTCTAACAGATTGATTCAAGGATTCTAGCCAAGATGGATGCCAACACCGGAGGCTGACTAGCCTACCCAACTGTCCCATACCTACTCCTATTGTCACACCAGACAGAACAGTGATCAAGAAATCCACAGAGAAACTAAACTGTAATAGGTGATTTCTTCCACCTCAGAACCACACAGAAAGGTAATAGCAAAGAGGGCTGCGAACAAAGCCAATGTCAGGACACAGAAGCCTCTCAGCATGACCAAAGATGGACAGAGACACATCTAGCCTGCATGGTTCCATGTTCAAAGGCAGCAAGAGTGCATGATGCCTTTGAGAAAACCCGGAGAAGAGACCAAGGACACCCAGGGAGAGCAGTGTAACGGGCAGTGACCAAAGCAGTGCTATAGCACTTGAACCAAGAAATCCCAGGGCCCAGGGGCTCTGAGGTCCCAAATATTCTGTCCTAAGACACCAGTGAGAGCTTTTATTATCTAATGCTCTGAACCTCAGAGATCCAGGGGCAGGTTATAAAGGGCTTTAAACACCAAACAGAAGATTTCATAATGGATCCTGGAGGTAACAGGGAACCACTTAAGCTCTGTGAGTCAGGCTTAGGGACGGAGTTAAATGGTCAGATACGGTTTTAGGAAGATCACTTAGGCAACTAAGTGGAGGATGGTTTAGAGTAAGGAGACAGTAAGGGCAGGGAGATGAACAAGGAAGGTTATGGCAATAGTCCAGGTGTGACATGATGAGGGTCTGCACCTGGGGGAGGCTGTGAGAGGAGAGAGAAGGAGAATAAGACAAAAGATGATGTGATGGTACAGACAAGCCTTGGCAACAGGCTGGATATGGGGGGGGCAGGGAGAAAGGGGATTCAAAAATGACACTAAGGTTGTGAACCCGGGACACTAGGGGTATGATAGTACACTAGGCAGTAACAGGAAGTTCAGAAGTGGAGAGGATTTGGGGGAAAAGATGACAAGTTCTGTTTTGGACATGTTGCATTTGAAATGTCCATGGGATATCCAATTCAAGATGTCCAATAGGCAGTCGGTGATGATAGGCAGTCTTGGCAGTGGTACATTATTTGTCATGTTTGCATTCTTGTTAATTTTTTTGACTCTAAAATGTGACACAGTTTTTCTGATCATTTCTTTGATGTGTAAAGTATCCTTTGGTTACCAGTTAAATTAAGGCAGACATTCTTTCCCCAATTTTGCAACACTGTTAATTTGTAAATCTAGACTTGAAGAATTAAGGACTGAGAAATGACTAATATCTTAAATGATCTGCAACAAAAGTGAACCTAAAAGACATGGCCAACTGAATTTGAGTCTTTTTCAGTCAAAAATTCTCTGCTGCACATTTTGTTTAAGTGTTACTGTTTCTGCCTATTACTGTCGGAAACATCAATAGTGCAATTTGTGCAACTGGAAAATTTTGCTTTTTTTTTTTAAGAACACTTGGCTAAAAATAACAAAACAATACAAAATCCACCACCAACAACAAACAAAACAAAACAAAAAGACAAACTCATGCTATGTACTTATCAAAATGCACTAATGGGTACTCTGAACTCAATTCCATTGACATGTGCAGGAGAAGGCAGCAGGAAAACAGAAAGTCCTACTTCTTCTCTAGAGAATAGATTCTCAAGGTCAGGAGAGAGTTTGGGGTTAGGTAAGTAGATCTAATAATCATCTGCAAAGAGATGATAACTGAATCCATAGAAGACAATGAGACCATCAGGTGAAACAGAAGAGAAGGAGAAGAGAACCTGGGAGATCCCCACAGTTAGTGGTTAAGGAGATAAACCGGCACAAAGATACAACAAGAGAGACTGAAGAATGTTGAGACAGGAAGCAGGAGAACCAAGAGAAAGCAGTGTTATGAGAAATAGAGAGGAGAGAATATCCAGGAGAAGACAGTGATTGAGAGTATCAAAGGCTGTAGAGGTCCAGAAAGAAAAGGAGAGAGCAATTAAGAGATCATAGGTAACCATGGAGAGAAGTTTCAAATGAATGCTGAGGTCAGAAGCCAGAAGGCGGACAGGAAGTGGAAGGGCCAACAGAAATGGCTTTCATAAGGAATTTAAGCATGAAAGGGAAGAGAGGTATAGGATGACGGTTAGTGGGAATGACTGTAATGAGTGACAGTTTTTAATGATGGGGGAGATATGGGCATGTTTGTAGGCAGTACAGAGGCAACCAGCAGATAGAGACTGAGGATGAACAAGAGGGTGGGCATAATAATCTGCTGCAGAAGACAGGATGGGATGCTATCACTTGTGCACATAGAAGGGTTTGCCTTGGCATCTCTTCATGCAAGAAATTGGAGAAGAGCAAGAGAATGGGATGAGAAGCAAAGGAGAAGAGGGAGAGTTCAAAGCAAACAGGGCTCCATACTTTCAGGAAGCATGAGGCAATCTTCAGCTGAGAGGAGAGGACGAGAGGAAACTGCAGGAGGTTTGAGGAGAGATGAAGAGTGGGACAGTTGTTCCACTAGGGAGCTACAAAAGGATGCCCGCTGCAGTGAGGGCCCAGAGTGTACACCCAAATAGGCAGTGAATCCAGTCAGCACAGTTTCCACGCTTTTCTTCAGCTTCATTCAGCAGGATAGAAATAGGAGCAACGGGAAAAGAAGTCACAATGACGACAGACCACAGAGGTAAGAGTCGTAAGGCAGACAGAAAGACAAAATAACGGATTACGATCTGATCAAGAAAGTTCAAAGTTCACAAACACGCAAGTGGAATGAATACTTGTGGGTGAGGGCAAGATCAAGGGTATAACCAGCTCCTTAGTTAGCTGAGGTGGAATGGAGGTTAAGTAGGTCAGGGTGCCCTCAAGCTCATGCTTTCAAAAACAGAATCTAAACTTATTGATACTGGGTATATTTGGTCACCTGACATTATCTGAACCAATGATTTCACTTACAGTAGCCTAAGGAACAAAAAATGAGAAGCAAACATTATAATCAGCTACAAGGAGAAGACATTTAGGTATATCATTTTTCCTTATGTATTTTTACAGCTTATACATAAGCTTTAAGATACTTTAAGACATTATTTCATGTCAAGAAGTAAAGGGGTAGCTAGGTGGCGCAGTGGGTAGAGCACCAGCCCTGAAGTCAGGAAGACCTGAGTTCAAATCCAGCCTCAGACCAAATACTTGACACTTACTAGCTATGTGACCCTGGGCAAGTCACTTAACCTCAATTGCCTTAAAAAAAAAAAAGTACAGAAAAACAGCATATTCAGGACCCCCTGACCAATGTCACAGAGCTAATTTACATAGAACCAAAATGCTATGATGATAATAAAATAATAATACTACTAATGATAATGAGTAGCATTTATATAGTGCTTTAAGGTCAGCAAAGCACTTTACACATATCATTTAAGGCTCACAATACCCTGGAAGGCCAAAGCTATTATAATCTCCATTTTACAGATGAGGAAACTGAGGCAGATAGAGGCGTGTGAAGCTGGATTTGTACTCCAGTCTTCCTGTTCCAAGTCCAGCAGTCTGGGTCAATTAGCTGCAATTCATGATGCCATAACATGAAATCAACCACCAAGGAGAGAAGCTTAATAAAAACATATTCAACAAACAAAATCACATAAAATCTTACCTTTTTCCAATACCAGCTGCTTGTTCTTCAATGAATACAATTTGGGAAAGAGGAATAGCAATGCAACATTCCTATAGCATAATCAATACAAAATAAAAGAGTATGAGATTTATCTGGGTGCTTTGCTTTACAGCATTCAGTACTCAGTGTCTAAGAAGCATCTATACAGCAACTACCCTGGGCCACCTTGGTAACATTACCAATTGCACACTAAGCAGCATGTATCATGCCACTCTGAAAAGGGCTCTGTGGGGGGAGGGAGAGACCCCAAAGACAAGGCAGAGACCTGCCACATTCCCTTAGGTGATGGCAGAAGTTACCAAAGCGGTTCCTTAGGCTAGTTCCTTCAGACTCAAGACTAACTTCATTTGATTTATACAAAAAATGATTCACAAAAACCTAAGTCCTCAACACAGAAAAACAATATAAATATAGAACATAAAGACAATAAAAAAGAAACAAGAAAATCTGAGGATAGTGAAGATGGGGTGAAGGGATAGAGGTTCTATATTAGTTCCACTTCTGTGACAAGGACTATAAAGCAAGAAAACAAGATAGTTAACAATTAAATAGCAAGGGGAGGGGTGGAAACAACAAGAGTTATAGAAGTTTAGAACAAAGAGAAATCGATGATTAATAAAACCAGTTCCTGATTGTTAATGCCGACGTCCTTACTAAACATTTTTGAGAGTTTTTAACCAGCAAACTCCTTACTACTACTTAAGTGCATCTTTTCAATAACAACGCTTTGATGGTACCTGGCTGTAATCCTGAGTACCAAACCACAGAGTTAAAGACCCATGGTGGGCATGAGTAGGTTTTGAATTATCAAGGACATGCAAGGCCAGAACAAAAGGTGGACCAGTAACGGCACAAGGATGAGAAACCAGATGGACAGACTGGCTCTGTGGTCATTAAGTATCCCTAAGATACCAAAAAAAATCTCCCACCATGCCTTGAGTAGAAATTAAAATAAGTAAAATTTTAAAATCACCAAAATAAGTTTAACTAACAATTTAACCTCTTCTTTTACCTTCCCCCCAAATAAGAAAATGCAGACAACAGAAGAAAACAGGAGAGAATGAGTAATCTACAATTTGAATAATGCACCATTGAATAAGAAGAGTCAAATGTCTGTAGGGAATACAAAAAACATCAGGGAATCTTAGAGTTGTAAGAAACTGAAAAGGTCATCCAATGGGAGACTCCCTAATGAAAGGGCCCTCTGTGTAGCAAGACAATCCTTTTATTCTTCCCTAACTAATTATTTATATCATTAAGCAGAGAAGCTATTGCTAAAGTCCCCCTGAAGACTGTGCTTCTTTACTGAGAACATGGAGACAATCCAAAGTACATTCATTCTTCTGTTTATCTCAAAACCCCTTAACATCATCTCTCACTTGCAATTTCTGACCAAGTGGTGACCCTTCTCTTTGCCAAGCCAAATCCTCAATGTGCTCACTTCATCTGATCCTCTCCATCTTTTCCAATAGACTGTATCCTTAATCATCCCCGTTGTTGAATCTTCAACCTTTCCCTATCAAGTAGTTCCTTTCCTACCGCCTCCAAATACGTTCAAGGCTTCTCTATCCTTAAAAATCTTTCACTACATCCTACCACTCTGTGGCTATGTCTCCTCTCTTTCTTAGCCAAACACCATGAAAAAATTGTCTACACTCGCTGCCTCCACTTTCTCTTCTCTTACTCACCTTTCAACCTTTTGCAATATGACCTCTAGCCGTATCACTGCTCTCTCTGAAGTTGCCAATGATCTCAATTACTAAAATGACGGCTTTTTTTCCTCAATCCTAATCTCTTGACCTATCTACTGCATTTGACACTGCTGCCGCCCTCTTGTCCTAAATACTCTCTCCTTTCTGGGTTTTGGTTGTTTCCTGGTTCCCCTCCTAACTACATGACCAATCTTTCTCAGTTTCCTTTGCTAGTTCATAATCTATATCATACCCTCTAACTTTGGGTGTTTCCCAAGGCTCTTTCCTAAGCCATCGTATTTTTTTCCTTAGTAACCTCATTAGATCCCATGGATTTAACTATATTCTCTATGCAGATGATCCCGGATCTATATATGTAGTGCTGGTCTCTTCCCGGGTTCAGTCTCACACCTTTAACTGCCTACTAGGCATTTCAAACTCTATGTCCTGAAGGTATTTTAAATTCAATATGTCCAAAATTAAACTCATTATTTTTCCTCCTAAACCATCTCTCTTCCAAGTCTGTCTGAGGTACCATCATCCTTCCAGTAACTTAGGTTTATATCTATGGCATTAACCTCGACTCTTCATTCTCCTTTACCTCACATATCTATCAGTTGCCAAATCTCGCCAATTCAACCTTCACAACATTTCTCACATCCAACTCCTTAACTTTACTCACAGAGCCACTACATTAGCTCAGGCCCTCATCACCTCTCACTTAGAATATTGTAATAGCTGGTCCTAACTAGCCTCCCTGCCTCAAGTGTCTCTTAATTCTAGTCTATCCTACCTACACACTACTGACAAAGATGTGACCACTTGATTCCCCTACTTATTCTGCTCCAATGGCTTCCCAGTGCCTGTAGAATAAAATAGAAACTCCTCTGTTTAGTTTTGAAAGCCCTACAGAACTTGGCTTCTACCTATCTGTCCATGAAATATTTTAAGCTCCTCACATTAAGGTATTACATAAAACTCCAAAGAATTTAAAGACAAAAGTCTTTAAAAATGGGAAAATTTCTTATCTTGCTGGGTTAACTCAAATCTATGTGGTACTTTAAGGCTTACAAAGTACTTTCCCTAAATTATCCTACTAGGTAGGCATTGCAATGATTATTATTCCCATTTTACAAATGAAGAAACAGAGGGCCAGAAAAGGTAAGTGGCTTGTGTCTATCATCCAGCTAGTGAAGTGTCAATCAATCAATCAATCAATCAACGGGCATTGATTCAGCACCTCCTTTGTACCAAGCCCAGAACTAGATCTCAAACACAAGGAATACTCTGATCCCAAGACTAGTAGGTCCCTCTACAGTAGGGGAAAGGAATGCAATTGATAATCCCTCAAGGTTATTACAAGAAAGGCCTCCTTTTATCTATCTCACTCTCTATCTACAAGAACAAGAGGAGACAGGCATTCTTGTTCTGTGCCCTTACTACTAAGGAGAAAACCATTCTCCTAACACATATGTGGTAATGCTGTGCCCCATGTATCAAGAGGCAATACAGTTCTAATAGAGGGTTGTGACCAGTGTAAAGAACTGGAGAGCTTCCATGATTCTTCCTAGTTTCTACAAAAGATCCAACTAGTTCAGTCTCTTCTGGAGTTGAATGAAAGGAAGTAAGAGCAGGCAACAAAATTCTATGTTAGCCTCTCTCTAATCCAATTCCCTCAGGAATGTCATATGAGATATGATCCCAACAGGCTAAAGATGAATAAGTATTAATATATCTCTATATACTTTAACCACTGGGAGAAAAAAGTTTCAGGTAGGTAAATCACATAAAAAACACATGCAAAAAATGTAAACTTACATGATTTTTCTGATCTCTCCAGATGAGGCGGTGTGTACTAAGGAGAAGGACTCCAGCATCAAATCTGATCTACAAAGAAGCATCATATGATATTCATTGATGGTACTGAGAATTGTCAGAATTCTCTTTTACCTAATTACCCAACAATATACTCAAATACTCAACTGGATCTGTCATCTAATCAATTCAGGAGTTCTCTCTTTCTATGCCTACCCATTCTGTGAAACTACAACATTTATCCAGGTTCTCCCCAAAATTTACCACAGGTGTCCACTATAGATAGTCTTTTCACCATGGTGATCCATTTCTATATTCAAGTTAATTAAAACTATGTTTTATTACTATACTATAAATACGTTAGAAATAGTTTATCACAAATTCTGCATAGGAAACACTGTTAACCATTGAATAAGATAAGAAGAAAGACAAAAATGCCTGCACATACATTTATACATACAGACATATTCTCCTGTTAGTTACTGTTCTTATATCAGACAATTTTCTTAACTTTTTTTTTAAAGTAAACTTATTGGGGAATCCCTTATTGGGAAGTGATTGTGGTGTGAAAAAAAAAAACTTTTAAAAAGTAAAATAAAAACTTTTAAAAATTCAAATAACATGCTTATATGCTGTTGATTTACATGCTGTTACATGCTCAGCATGCAAGATAAATGGGGGAAGAAAAGAAGGCATTCAAAGTAAAAAGAACAGATTGAGCATAGGAGGCATTCAAAGTAAAAAGAAAAGATTGAGCATAGGAGGCAGGAAAATACTGGTCATCTATGGAGGATATGGAGTAGTCTAATTATACTGAGTAGTCTAGTTTGACCGGATCATAGAGCACATGGAGAAGAAAAGAATGAGATGATTAGAAAGAAGGATGGTGCCAGAACAGAGGATGGATACTCTTGGGTGCCAGTTAGATAACTACAAACATTATTCAATAGACAAGAGGAAGATATGACAGATTTTTGAAGTGAGCAAGACCTGACCAGATCTATATATAAGGAAGATTAGTTTGGCAGCATTGTGAATAACAAACTGGAAATGAGAGAACGAAGTTTGGAAGAAGTATTGCAAAGGTATTACAACAGTAGCAGTCCAGTAACAGACTAAAATATTCCAGACTCATGGCAAGCATATGAACTGAGGTGGTAACTGTAGGAGTACAGGAGGGGAGAGATGTGAGAAATATTAGAGAGGCAAGACTGACAGAACTTTTAAAGTGGTAGAAAGTGAGTGAGAATGAAGAGTCAAAGAAAACAGAAAGGATTAAAACATGGAAAACTAGGGAGCTAACAGTGCCACTGAGGGACATGGTGAAGTGAGAAGAAACGGGCTTTGGAGAAAAGTTAATAATTCAATTCCACGTACATTCACTAAGCACCTACTACCTGCCACACACGGGGCTATGAACTGGAGATACAGAGACAAAAAGGAAACAACTGCTGCCCTCAAGGAGCTTACCTTCTATGTGTCTCCTCCCCCATGCTATATGTCTTATGCTATGTGTACTTATATTTTCAATGTAAGTAAATAAAATGTAAGTAAATGTAAGCAAATAAAAATTAATACTGTTTTTTTTAAAAGTACAGTCCCAGCACTAGTGCACCGTTGGTATAGCTGTGAACTGATCCAACTATTCTGGAGAGCAATTTGGAACTATGCTCAAAGGGCAATCAAACTGTGATATTTTGATCCAGCCATACCACTACTAGGTCTGTATCCCAAAGAGATCAAAAAAGAGGGAAAATATTCAAAAATATTTATAGCAGCTATTTTTGTGGTGGCAAAGAACTGGAAATTGAGGGGATGCTCATCAACTGGGGAATGGCTGAACAAGTTGTAGTAAATGAATGTAATGGAATATTACTGTGCTATAAGTAATGACAAGCAGGCAGATTTCAGAAAAACCTGGAAAGACTTACATGAACTGATGCAACTGGAAGTGTGCACAACCAGAAGAATATTATACACATAATAGTAACATTGTACAATGATTAACTGAATGACTTAGCTATTCTCAGGAGTACCATGATCCAAGACAGTCCAAAGGATTAATAAGGAAAAATGCTACTCACATCCAGAGAAAGAACTGATGGAGGCTAAATGCAGACTGAAGCATACTATTTTCACTTTATTTTTTCATGGTTTTTTATTTCTTTTGTTCTGTTTCTTCTTCCACAACATTACTAATATGGAAACATTTACATGACTGCACATATATAATAACCCTATATCAAATGGCTTACCATCTTAGGGAGGTGGGATGTGAAGGAGAAATTTGGAACATAAAATTTTTAAATGAATGTTAAAATTTGTCTTTACATGTAATTGGAAAAAACAAAACTTTTTTTTTTAAAAAAAAGTACAGCCCCAGGGACAAGATATTGAAGTTACAGTCCACTAAGTACATGATAAACTTCAACTTTAAATAATCACTGGGTCAGGTGACTCCATAATGACCCCTTGTTCATTCATAAGAACAAAAAGGAGATGGGGGACAGGCTTACTATGTAATTACTGTATATGAAATAATGTCACCATTATTACTAACATGGCAGTACTAGTCCATTAGTATTATTTTGGCAGGTTAGAGAAGAAGCACTAATCAGCAGAGGCTGAAAACAGAACACTACAGTTAAAAACCATCTGCTTTAGTATAGAACCTGCCCCTTGGGGAGTGTTCTAAGTGTAGTGGGGTATAGGAGCCAATGAATGTTGCTAAGCATTCAAGGAGCAGAAAGAGCTCATTAAACCATTTTCCTTACAGTAACTATTTGATCTCACTTTCCCTGAAAGAATCACATAATACGCGATTCTTTGTGTAATATTTTTGTACTTTCTCTTTCCTGCTCCTTCATTAGACTATGAACTCCCTGGAAGTAGGAACTCTTTTTTTTTGTTGTTGTTGTTAAATCTTTGTATCTTCCACTTAAAAGTTTGAACGACCTGACTTGTTCCAGCAAAAGGAGGAAGGGAAGGGATAATGAAATTGGCTTTGGCTGATGAGGTAGGAGCACCGTCAATATTAAGGAGTGTTAACACAAGTTTAATTATCCAGAGGCAGCAGGAAGGACCAGCACCCTGAGACTCAAGTGTGTTACCCTTAAGGAAATGACTGACCACATCTTTGGCACCCTAGCCTCACCTCCACTGTTCTGCTCTAGTAGGAAAAGGACTGGAGAGGAGATGCAGTGGAGAAGAGGCAGAAATGGAAAGAGGAAGGAAGGGAAAGAAAGAAGGGAGGAGGGAGGAAAATAAAGAAGGGGGAGAAAGAGGAGAGGAGGAAGGAAAGGAAGGGGGAAGGAAAGAGGGAAGGAACAGGGGAAGGGAGGAAAGGAAAGGGGAAGAGAGGAAGAGGAGAAAGGAAATTAAAGGGGAGGAAATGAGGAAGGAAAAAACAATGAATACGAGAGGAAAAGAATACAGGAAAAGGAAGGAGGAAGACAGGGAAAAGAAGGAGGGGAGGGAGGAGGAGAAGGAGGGGAGGGAGGAGGGGAAGGTGGGAAGAAAAGAAGGAGGGGAGTTAGGAGGGGAGGGAGGAGGGGAGAAAAGAAGGAAGGGAAGGAAGGAGGGGAGGGCGGGAGGAAGGAAAGGAAGAAGAGGCAGGAGCGCGGGAGGAAAGGAAGGGGGAAGGTAGCGGGGGAGGGAAGGGAGAGCTGACTGCACCGGCCGTGCAAGGGAGGGTCGGGGAGCTCGCGTCTGGAGCCGGAAGGGCCACCGCCAGGATTCAGATGTCACGGAACCAGTCTGGGGAGGCCGGGACCCCGGGGGCGCGCAGGGGGCGCCGAAGCCTCGGGGCGGGGCGGCACCTCCTCCGGTTCCACCGCTCCGGGGGGCCGGGGCTCCGAAGGACCTCCCTCAAAGGCAGCTGCGAGCCCCGCAGCGCAGCGCAGCCCAGCACCGGCCGGCTCCCCGCCGGCTCCCCGGCCGGGCCTCCCGCGGCCGAGCGCCGCCCTGGCCGCCCGCCCGCCCCGCGGCGGCCGCGCACCTTCTCCTCGCCGTCGTAGATGCGGACCCCGCGCTGCTGAATCACCAGCGTCTCGTTGATCTCCAGGAGGCCGTTCGTCCACACGAACCGGTCCATGACCCGCCGCCGCCTCCGCAGTTCCGGGCCCGGCCCAGCCTCTGCCCTCTCTCTTTCTCCCCGGCCGCGGAGCCGCCAGCCGGGCCGCCTGCCGCACTGCGAGGGCGTGGCGCCCCCTGGCGGCCCGGCTGCTCCCCGGGCGCCGCGGCGCGGGGGCGGGGCGGGGCCGGCTGCGAGCGCGCTGCGGGGAGCCCCGGGGGTGAGGGGGCGAGGCAGGGGATCCTTCCATACCCGTTGCTGGCAACTGCTTGGCTCTGCCCGGCCGAGGGGCAGTTCTCCGCTCCCTAGAGTAGCTTAAGGTGGGGGGCGCAGGGAAAATAATCATAGCCACTGACATTTTTAAATGTTTTATTTTTTCCCAATTAATAGGAATCCAGTCCCACCCTCAGAGAGAAAGAAAGCAAGCCAGCCCTTGTACCAAATACATGCATTCAAGCAGAACAAATTCTGGTATTGGCTATGTCCAAAAAATGGCTCAATCTGCACTCTGAGTCCATCACTTAGATGTCACGTGGTTGGTCCTCTGGAATCAGGGGTGGTCACTGAGGTTGAGCAAAGTTCTTAAGCCTTTCAAGGTCGTCTGCCTTTATATATTCTTATTGCAAAGATTGTTCTGGTTCTGCTCACTGCCCTCAGCATCAATTCACAGAAGTCTTCCCACGCTTCTAATAACGAACATTTACATAATGCTTTAAGGTTTGCAAAACTTAAGCACACGATTTCATTTAAGCCTCACAATCTCATGAAGTAGGTGCTACAGGTACAGTTATTTTTCAGATAAGGAAATGTGAGGTTCAGATACTGTGTTCCATAGGCTGTATTTCTAAGGGGACTATTATTGATACTGGCAGGGGTATCAGTAAAAGCTTATAGTTAACAAAGCTTTGTTCATTTCACTTACAGAGAAGCTAATTTTTAACTCTGGAGCTTGTAAAACAAAACTTTGAAAGTGTTGCGGGTAATTAATGATAACTGAGGAAACAATCCGAGCAAAAGAAATTTATTGGCTAGGCAGTCAAGAATGAATGGGTCAGTGGATTGATTCTCCAGTCAGTCCAAAGACCCTGAATACAGAGTGAAGCAAATTTTTATACATAAAAATCAAATACAACCAATTAATTATAATAAAAACAATTAACCAGGACACAAAATTAGGTAATGTAATTTCTTATCAGAGGAAAATTTAGAGATTTTCCAAGTTGGGAAAGGGAAGAGTAGGGAACTAGTAGTTTTCAGGATCTTCTATTTATAAAATGAAAACATGTTGATTAATTGCATCCACCTGAATGTATGAAACAATAGATGTATATAATTTAGCTTCCCATAGATGAATAACAGAAAAACAAGACGGAGGAGAATACATGTGGCAGCACAAGACAGAGTCAATGTTCATAGGATAGGATTTGATGGTTTCTTTTGATTCCCACACCAAACCGACTCCTTGTTGTAACTGGTCTTCACTTTATCTCATCAATTCCCCTGTTTTGATTAAGTGGGAGGGGTGAGCCTACTCCCCCCATTAATCATTTAGCTGTAAACCAAACCAAATCAAGGTTTATCACATCCTCAGAATCAGAATTAAAATTATGTAACAAGAGATCACTGGGTGTCACTCTCTCACACAGCTTAGGGCAACAGTTGGTACATAAGGCAAAAATAAAAATCAGTCTTTAAGAAAGAAGAGCCCATTTGCCAATGGTGTGGAATAACCCATTACCCTGTAACCAAGTAAACCAAGAGGAGGGATTCCACCAAGGGTGTTTTGGGTCAGGAGGTTGTGTTTCTGCTATAACCCGCTGAATTTCATGAAGGTTGGCTTACAATGTCCCCTGACAGATTAATATCAGAACAAGATTGATTGATTACAGCACAGGCCCCTCCTTATGATGGTGTAATAAGATCAAGGACCATGTGATTTTGTAAGGCTTATTGTGCTAAGAAATCAACCTCAATTTGGAGAGAGGTTCACACAAGTTTCTCAGTTTCAAGTGATAAGTTTTCAATGCTGCCACTCCAATGGATGGGAATAGGGACCAGTAGATCTTCATCCCTAGCCCATTTTCTTTCACAGGGTCACTCACTAACATTTCTCTTTTTTCACAGCCATGGCACCAGGCACCCAGATTTCTAATAGCACGTCTTCCCATGGTTCAAGACTAAGACTGTTGGGGCTAAATGGGCAAGGCCACAAGTTCCAAAATAATTTGGGGGAAGAGAGGCATAAGCCTTATTTCCACAGGTGGAAAACTAACCGGGGGATGCTAAACTCCATGTAAGATTGGTGGGAGCTAACCTTTGTCCACCAAAAGTGTTGTCAGACCTAAACCAACCTAAGGTGTTTCTGGTGAGATTTGATGAAACATGCTTGGTTTTCCAGTCTGCATAGCTGTTATAAAGACAAGCTCTGGCACAAATGAAAAAAATCTACCCTATTTATATCAGGGAAGGTAATGCTATGGTTACGAATGATTATTGCCAAAGTCAGAGGTATTATAGGGGCCACAGTCTCAGGTGATACATAAAGGAAAATGTGATAGAGGCATATTAACAGTAACAGAAACAGTCCTGGTCTTAGCATACTGCTATACCTTCCCCCTTCTCTGCACCCCCCCCACCAGAGGCTAATCTTAAATGAAATGTAATCACTTCCTAAGGGGGTAAAGGTCATGGATCCGGGGTTGGTCTAATTTAGTACCTTCCTATTAGGCGCATACAAATGACACTTTGTTGAAGCCATGACTGAAAAACTTCCCATCAATGGTGGGGCATAATTACGTCTTGAATGTGGCAAAGTTGTCGTCCTCTGTGATGGGGGACCACTTCCCATGAGTTAGGCCCCACCTTGGTGTATATGATGATATACCTAACACCCATGAGACCCAATAACTTTCAAGTGATATAATTCGTCCTGCTTCACTGTGTAATTTAGTAATAGCACTGAGTCTTTTCCAGTCTTCCTGGAAGGAGTAGATGGGGAGGAGAACACAACAGATAATAATAGTAAAACTAAACAACAACAAGAAAACTTAGATTTACACAATAGGATAATGATAGTACGCAGACATAAAGTACATATAGCATACAGACCAGGTAAAAAGAATCCAATATGCTATATATGCAGAAAATTCCCAAGAAGAGGGCAGTTTAATTTTCCTGGGTTCTCCATTCTCAAATCCTCTTGAGAGGAGTTGACTGGAGAGGAAAGAGCAACAGGGAGAAAAATATCAAAATCAAAACAACATAACAAGGAGTAGCAAGATTTCTTGTCATAATTAAAATGATTAATAATGTGAAGCATAAAGCAAGTGGTAAAACAAAAGTCTTCCATCTTACCGAATATATAGACTTTCTAGAAAGATGGGTGCTTATTGCTACTCTACTCTCTTTGGAAGAGTTAGAAAAGTGGGAAAAATTATCACGAAAAGTAAAAACAACAGGTGACAAAATTAAAATAAAGTAAATCACAAAACGCATTATGAATCTAACGAAGGAGCAGGTTTTACATGAGAACAGTGTATCCGAGAGTCCTTTTCTCCAATCTTGACTGCGGCAGGAGTAGTTGGTAACACGTCGGAACAGGCCTTCCCAGGCAGGCTGAGTTCCACTGGTTCACTGGAAATTTTTAATGGAGACTTTACCTGCAGTGAAAAGTCCAAAGGGCCAGTTTGTGCTGCAGCTCCTGTCATGGAGTTCTCTCAGTCTGTTCCATAATTCCCGTATGTAAGAGGCAACATAAGTATCTCCTCCTAATAACGATGTATATGCTGAGGCAAAAGGTTTTGCTTACGGAAGATGACCAAAAAGCATTTCAAAAGGAAAAACGTGTCATTGCCCCGGGTCTGAGCCTGAGATGGAACAATGCAAGGGGGTGAAAGTCAGGCCATTTAGGATGTTTCAGAACACAGCTTACAAATTATAATATTAAATTCTTTATTCATATGTTCAACTTGACCAGGACTGGGGGGAGGAAGGGTGACAAGGGACATGAAATTTAGGAGTTACCCTTAGGCAGAAATAAATTTAGGAGAGGATTGTATCAGTGAAATGAGATCCCCAGCCTGAGTCAACATGAGTTGGAGGGCCAAACCAGGGGACAATTTCTTTGAGCGTTATTTTAGCTACAAAACTAGCAATAGTTCTTTAACTAGGGAAAACTTCCACCCAGTGAGTCAGCTGATCCACAATAATGATGTAAATTTTGAAGCAGTCAGATTTTGGCCTGATGAGCAGTGTGAGGGAAAGAAGCCACAGTTATGGAGAAACTGGTGCTAGATGGAAGGGGTGAAGAGAAGTAGGAAGGACAGGGTATAAAGAAGTAACCTTTTTGGGAAGGAGTTACTCAGCAAAACCAATAGTTCATCTGATCAGAAGAAGATTTTTCAATGGCTAGCCTTAATTTCTTCAATTTGCAATAGTAAAAAGACCCAAATTGGGGCCAAAATAAAGGATCACTATAGTCTCTGGCAGATTTATACACAATTGAATTGCTTGCTGTTTATTCATTGCCTTAACTATAGGGAGCATCACCTGATCCCCTATACCATCAAAATTCTATCCAAGGGGGAACCTCTCTTTCACGACTCCCGGGGAAAAACAATTTAAAACCAAAACTTAACCCCAAACCATCCCATTATCTGGGGTAAAACTCCTCTAATGCAAACCTAAACCTTCCCAATTCCTAGGGCAAACCTTATCTTCCCCAGTCCCTGGTGCAAACCTAAACTTTAACTTCTGGGAAAATTTAATCCAAATCTAAACTTAACCCAGTGCCTGGGGTGGGCCCAAACTTAACTTAAACTTAAACTTCCCCAATCCATTTTTTAACTGGTCTTCATTTTATCTCAGCAATTGTGAACCCCACACTACAGGTCCTTAATAAATATTTATTGATTAGGCAGAGCCAAGATGGCAAGAGATTAGGGGCAGCCAGCCTACACAATCGAGTGGCAGAGCCAACAAAGGTGTCAAGGTGAGGCATTTTTCTAGCATATGAAAACTTAAGAGGTCAGCAGGAGAAACTTGTGGCATTAGCGAGAGGCACGGCACCATCAACAGCTTTGGGTGCTCTCAGT